ACCCATGCGGCGGTGGTTGCGATGATTGCTTGGCGTTGGCTGGTGCGTCTCTGCGGCTGCGCTAACCAGCGCAAGCTGGCGCACACAGCGGCCAACTAGTCAGGCGCAACCGACGCGGCCGCGGTGGCGCTGACCGTTTTACACTTCCCAACGGGCACTTCATTGCGAGTCGGTGGCTTGGGCGGGCGCGGTATCGTGGCAACGTCGACGACGGTAGACACGATGATGGTAGTACCGATGGTGGCGATGTTGACAGAGACGACGGCAAGGCCAATGACGGCGCCGATGCTGATCACGCCGAAGACGATGACGGCGTCCTCGCGTCGGTGATAAACGTTTTGGAACGAGTTCGGCATGCGACCGCGGCCGACGCGCGAGAGAAGCCGCATGGGTGCATTTGACGCTGATCGTGCCTCCCCACCACGCGCACAAAGGGCGTTCGAATGACTTCGGCATGCGGCGCGGGAGGTTCGTTTGGCAGAGTGTCGCGAATATGATAAACACATATGGTTTCCTTACGAATTCGCAAGAGCGCGAGAGCATCAACATATGTTATAGATATGTATGTGTATATATATATATGAATTATAAATGTGTTTAAGACGCTCGGTTTTGAAACCGCTACGACACCGAACATGTTCAGCGGATTCCAGCATGCGCGCGCGACGACGCGCGCGTGCTCACTTCGTCCTATGTGTGCAAAAAAATTCTCGCGACGGCGCGCGCGCACGGGCGTTCGAGCGGTGTCGACACGCGCGCGCGAAGCCCGTGTGGTAGCATGTTCTGAAAATGATGAACAACCTGCGGTTCCCCCAATAATGCGCAACACAACAAAAAAAACCACGCGCAAACTTGTTTTGAACATCCGTGTTGCGAAACCCTTTGGTTTTAAAATCAATATTGGGCACTCAATTTTGACATCCTTGCGAAACCGAAGTGTATACACATGTATGTATATATATATGTATATATATATATATATATATATATTCACGCACAACACAAACCAAAAACACCTAATGTCGGAATGCGCGCGCGACAACGCACGCGTGTGTGCACTTCGTGCCGTTGTTTGCAAAGAGTTCTTGGAAACCGATGTTTTTTGATGAGCGGGTGCGGGCGCATAGTATTCTTTGGACAAGATGGCGGGGGGGGGGGTACCGGCTCGGGTGGGATGGTACGAACTCAAAATTAGGATAAACGATGGGGCAGAACCGTGTGAAATTGCCATGCCCAAAGGGGTAGCGATAATCTCGGGGGGGGGTTCTTTTTTAAAAAAGAGAATCTATGTGGTGCAATTGGGGTTTGCTCGCAATGAATTGTCAACTTCGCTGCCCGCTCAATCGTCCCAGCCATCCACCCGCAACTTGGCTTGCAGAGCCCATGCGGCGGCGATTGCGATGACCGGCGCTGGCTGGCGCATCGCTGCGGCCGCGCTTGCGCGCTCAGGCTCGTGCGCTCTGCGGCCATCTAGTCTGGCGCGACCGACGCGGCCGCGTTGGCGCTGACCGCTGGGCATTGCAGTGCGAGTCGGTGACTCGGGCGGGCGCGGTATCGTGGCGACGTCGATCACGGCAAACACGGTGATGATTGTTGCGGTGCTTGTGACGACGATGACGACTACGACGGCCAAGCCAATGATGGGGCCGATTCTCATCACGCTGGTGACGATAATGGCGTTCACGTGTCGGCGATGAAGGTAGCGAAACGGATTTCGGCATGCGTGCGCGGCCGACAGGCGCGAGTGGCCCGCATGGTGTTATTTGACAGGGGCCGTGCGTCCCCAGCAAGCGTGCAAGGGCGTTCGGATGAATCCAACATGCGCGCGCGAGACGCGCGTTTGGTCGGATGTGGTTAACATGTTGGAGAATAAACATGGTTTCCTCAGAATTCGAAGGAGCGCGTGCATACAATTTTGTGCTGGAGAATCATGTTGTGCAACCATGTGCGTTTAGGTGCTTTCGGGACACTCGATGTCAAAATCCGTGCGGGAACTGACGTTTAAAACTGGTTTCGGCATTCGCGCGCGACGAAGCTCGCGCGTGCTCACTTCGCCCCATGCGTTTGCAAATGATTCGTGGACGCAGATGGTTTTGGATAAACGAGTGTGCGCGCATGGTGTTTTTTGTAAGTGGATGGGGGGTCGATGCCGGCTGGTCTGGGATCGCATGATTTCACATCTAGAATGAACGACGGGGCAGAATCATATGTAACTTGCGCCTCCCCAAAGGGTACCATTAAGTCCGGCCTCGGGAGGGTAGTGGAAACGATTCCCAAATAGAAATGAGAACCAATGCGGGGCAATCTATGTGGTGCAAATCACTTTGACTGTCTTGGAACTGTCCTCTCCACTGCTCGTGCAAACATCCCACCCTCCCACCCGCAACTTGGTCGCAAGACCTCCTAAGATCGTGAAGGTAGGTAACACATGGCGCTTGGCAGCGACACCGACGCCGACAACGACACCGACAACGACGATGACTACGACGCCGACGACGACTACGACGACACCGACGACGACTCCGACGACTTCGACAACGACGACAACGACGACAACACCGACGACGACGACGACGCCGAGGCCGACGACGACGACGATGACGACGCCGACGACGACGCTGACGCCGAGGACGACGACGACGACGCCGCCGACGACGACGACGACAATGACGACGACGAAATAGGAGGGACGACGACGACGTCGCCAACGAAGGCAACGACGAAGACGAGGGAGGAGGGAGGACGACGACGGCGACAACGACGAAGGAGAAGGGAGGACGGCGACAACGACAACGACGATGACGACCACGACGACGAAATAGGAGGGACGACGATGACGCGCCGACGACGGACGACGACGACGACGAGGGAGGAGGAAGGGCGACCACGGCGACAACGACGACGGATACGACGACGACGCCAAAAAGGAGGACGACGACGACGACGAAAGACAGAGGACGACGACGGCGACGACGAGGGAGGAGGGAGGACGGCGACGATGACGACGACGACGACGCAAGAGCGCGCGCGCACGATTTTGTTGAAAACCCGTGTTGCGAAACCATGGGTTTTGTATGTTTTTTGGACAGTCGATTTTGAAACCCTTCCGAAACCTAAGGTTGTTGAAGGAAGGATTTCGGCATGGATGCGCGCGCGACGACGCGCGCGCGTGCACTTTGTCCCGTTTGTTGCAGAGGATTCTCGCGACGGCACGCGCGCAAGGGCGTTCGAACGATTGTGACATGCGCGTGCGCGAAGCCCTCTTGGTAGAATTTTCTGAGAAGATTGGAGAACCATCTTAAGATGTTGCAAGAGCGCGCGCGTAAGCTTTGTCAGAAAATCCGTGTTGCGAAATTCTATACTGTTGAATGTGTGTTGGGACACTCGATTTTTTAAATCCTTCCGAAACCACCAGTTTTTGAAGGATTCCGGCATGCGGGCGCGACGACGCGCGCGTGCGGACTTCGTCCCAGTTTTGCAAAAAGGATTCTTCAAAACTTATCATGTTTGGTCAACGAGTGTGCGCGCATAATTATTCTGCAGAGGATGGCGGGGGGGATTGATACCGGCCTGGCTGGGATAGTATGAACTCATATTTAGAGTGGACGAATGTGCAGAATACATACGAAATCACAATACCCCAGGGGGGGCCGCTAACTCCGGGGGGGGGTAGAGTCTATTTTTTTCCAAAAAAAAAAGATAATCGATTCCCAGACGACGGGCGGCGATAGGGTGCCGACGGGGTGGCGACGGCGGCAACATGGCCGTCAGACCGACAGACAAGCTCAGACGACGGGCCGCGACGAGGCGGCGACGGGGCGGCGACGGTGACAACATATCGGCCAGACCGGCACACAAGCCCAGATGACGGGCCGCGACGAGGCGGCGACAGCTTCAGCATAGCCGCTAGAACTACAGACATGCCCAGACGACGGGCGGGGACCAAGGGGTGACGGGGCGGCGACGGCGGCAACATAGCCGCCAGATCGACAGAGAGGCTCAGTTCCTCAGTAACACATAAGAAGCCGTTAGTTCAAGCACTGCTTGAGGAATAGAACGGATCACAGCTCACACTAAATCGATCGCACCACATAGCGTACACATCAGAGCAGACGACACAGATCGTATATAACCCAGCTCACATCGTAAATTTCATGCCCCATAACCTACACACCTTAGCCTGTAACGTAACGTGCTCACAACATAGCGCTTACACAGCATAGGTTGCACCAAATCGCTCGCACCACATAGCGTACACAACATAGCTGATGCCACATACCTTATACAACACAGCTCACATCGTATACCTCATGCCACACAGCTTACACATCATAGCTTGCAATGTAACGTGCTCACAACATAGCTTGCACCACATAGCTCACCCAGCAAAGCTTACTCAGCATAGCGTGCACCACATAGCTTGCAAAACATATCTTTTACCTCCATGGTGCAATAGCTCACTGATTTGGGTCCACGGTGACAAGCATGTAGCCACCAACCTCCCAGATAGCCCCAAGGGGGGCGCCAGGGCCTCCAGGACGGCTCCTGCCCCCCTCCTCACCCCCTCCAGCCCTCCTTTTCCCCCGGCGACTGCTTTCGGATGGGCTGCTGGGGATACTTGAGGCGACAGGAACTCTTCATCTCGATCGCGGTTGTTTGGCAGTCCCAGGGCCCTGGGAAGGCCCCAAGACGCTGAGGACGGCGAATTGTCTTGAGTCAGGGACAGAACGTCCCAGCATTCCTATAGTCCTACCACGAAATGTTCCTAGAGCCCAAAAATGTTCTAAGAACAAAACAATGTTAGAAGATTAGCCCGATGTGTTAAAACAAGACAGCCTCCGCCAGAAATGCTCTAAGAACATTTCCTGGAAACCACACAAGGTTCTTAGAACATTGTTTGGTAGGGCTATAGGCGAGCCAAGACGCTTCACCACTGCTTGATTGTCTCAAGACCCGATCGCTTCATGGCGAGAACGGAAAAATAGAAAAAGGATGGTGTCCCTTGGCCGGCACGGGCAGCGCCGCACTGATCGCGAGCACGTCTGAATCGAACTCATGGCTGGAGGCCGGGACGCGCATGAGGTCTACCTCGGTCTGGCCAAGTCCGCGCCCACCCTCTGCGCTGCCCCGGCCTGCTCTCAAGCGCGAGCTCGCACAGGCCAGCCTGGGACTGGCTCGACAGAAGGCCTTTATGCGGCCTCTGGGACGATGCCTCTGGGACGATACCCTGACACAAGCATGCGCGAGGACTCCTCGTCATTCCTGGGCCCGCCTTCCTGCGTACACAATTCCTGGCGCCTCAAGAGGCCTCGCGGTCCAGCCACCGCGAGGCAGTTCCAAGAGCACGGTGCGCTCCTTCTACGTAGCCGCCAAGCGCGGTAGAGGGGTGAAGGCAGGTATCCTGACGGACCAATGCCAAACTTACCCCAGTGCGACCCTACCTAGAAGTTGGAGACCCTAGGAAAGCAGCATTAGTTGCTATGCTATGCTATGCTATGCCATGCCATGCTATGCTGCGCTATGCAATGCAATGCTATGCTATGCTATGATATGCAAAGCTATGCTATGCCATGCTGCGCTGTGCTATGCTAAGCTATGCTACGCTATGATATGCTGAGCTGCGCTATGATATGCTATGCTATACTATGCTCTGCTATGCTATGCTATGATATGCTGCGCTATGCAATGCTATGCTATGTTATGATTGGTTATGTTATGCTATGTTATGCTATGCTAATGCAGCGCTGCGCTATGCTAAGCTAAACTAAGCTAACCCTCTAGGCAGAGCCTAGGTAGGGAATTACACCCATGCTAATGTTATGCTGCGCTATGCTATGCTACGCTATGCTATGCTGTGCTCTGCTATGCTAAAGCTCAGCGAAGCTCAGATGAAGGTAAGCTAAGCTAAGATAAACCTGAGCTAAGATGAAGCTAAGCTAAGCTAAGATGAAATAAGCTGAGCTAAGATGAGATAAGCAACGCGAAACTAAGGGAACGTCACTGGGGGAACCGCGGGGCGGACGCCGGGGGAACCGCCCGGGCGATGAACACTGCCCGGCCCTTTAAGCTTATAAAGTAAGACCCCTTCTAGGCAGAGCCTAAATAAGCTAAGCTAAGATGAGATAAGCAACGCGAGGCTAAGGGAACGCCACTGGGGGAACCGCGGGGCGGATCCTGGGGGAACCGCCCGGGGCGGGGAACACTGCCCGGCCCTTTAAGCAATAAAGTAAGAGCCCTTCTAGGCAGAGCCTAGGTAGGGAAAAATGCCTCCATGGTTTAGAAGAGGAATGAAGAACTGCATAAACATGAATGTTTGGCGCTCTGTGCAGATTTCTTGGATCTGACGTGAGGCCCCCTCCCTGGCTCGCGAAGTGCGCCAGGGGCGGCGCCGGAAAAGCTCCGCCAGGCGGGCCCCAGCGCGGATCCATGAAATCCGCGCGGAGCGCCAACATTTTATGTTTCTGCAGTTTTTTGTGTCTTCGATGGCTGCCCCGTGGCTCGAGCTGTCTCTATATTAAAAAATGAGAAGAAGCCCCTACCCTGGGTTACAAGTGAGTGGTCAGTAAAGCTCCTTGGAGCTCCCACAGGCGGCCGGAGAGCCGCCAGGACGCCGCGCGGCACGCGCGATACGCAGAGTTTACCTTGTCAGCCCACAGGAGTTTCAGCGCACAACGCCTCGCTAACCACGGTGGAGGCGTTTGTTTACGCCTTTGCCCATTGGCAGCCTGCGGATACCTGCCGGCGATGGGGTGACTCCGCCACGGGGGCCGTGGGCGGGGGGCACGGCTGGCCCCTGCCGATGCCTCACGCTTGTGGGGCGTGCTCTCCGCCACAGCTCCCTCGGGAGGACGCCGCAATCGAGGCCCGGGCCTGGCCTGCCTCCTCCCGACTGCAATGTGGGGAGGACAAGAAGGTCGTGGCAGAAGAAGAACGCGTCCTGGACGCCAGAGCTGTCTCCAAGACCAGCGTCTCCTCCCGAGTGGTCTCCTGAGGGCCCCACGGGCGCGGGGGGGAGGGCTCCCGGAGAGCCCGAAAACGGCACGACAACATCCGGGGCCCGCCTCCTCCAGAGCAGCCTCGGCTCTCGGGAGCCTGTGCCTCGCCCCGCCCGGGGAGAACCCATCGCAAGGACGAGCTCTCGGTGGGGTGTGCTGAGGCCGATGGGCGCCCCCAGGGAATGTTTGAGCAGGGACCGACCGTCCCCGCATCACCGTAGGCCTACCACGACATGTTCTTAGAACCCAAGAACGGTCCAAGAGCAACCGCAATGTTCTTAGTAAATGAGGCCGATGCACTAAAGCATAACAGTCCCAGCCAGGAATGTTCTAGGAACAGTTCGTGCAGACCGCACGAAGTTCTCAGGATATTATTCTTTGGTGGGCCTGTAAGCAAGCCAGGACGCTTCACCATTGCTCAAGAATGCGGAGCAAAGCACCCAAGGTCGTGGGTGGGAGGATCGCGCCACAGCCCAGGAAGGGAGATTGCGGCAATCGCGAATGGACCTGGCGAAACATATTTCTTGTAAACAGAAAGACGGAAGCAGTACCCTTGGTGGAGATGCGAGGTACTGCTTCATCCATCCTGATCGGCCACGCGGAACCCGTCGCACAACGACGAGCTCTCGAGGGGCGCGCATGAGCCGATGGGTCTCCCAGAGCGGCTCGTATACATTTGTGTACACGCAACTGGGGAGGGGGAAGACGGAACGGGCAACACTACGACACAACACGTCCAGGAAACGATGCTGGGGGCTCTGCCGACGCTGGTAGCATGTGCAGCCGTACACGGCAAAGTCGCGGGGAGGAACTGTACCAGGACGCAGAAACGACTAAGCATTTAACATCAGCTCTCAGAGGTCTGCCCGACTTTCTCGGGTCGGCGCTGGACCCCTCTCCTTGGCACGCGGTGGGCGCCCGAGGCGGCGTCGGAAGCGCCGCCGAAAGGGTCCCAACGTCGACCCAGGAGATCCGCGCAGACCACCGACACGCTCAGTTTTGTGCAGTGTGCTCCTTTGCTGTCCCAACTGATGTTTCATGTTTTTGTGGTTCCAAAGAGCGCCTGGGTGCACGTGGAGCGCTAGAGGAACAACAATGGAAGGACGCATGCAACATCAAACCCCTTCCGAACCAAAGTGTCTTTCTGACACGCCCTGTATGATCCTTGCCCCAAATGGACCACGTCCGCGGCGACACCGACGGCGAGTCCTGCTCAGAATGGGCAGGAACTGCTGTCGGTCGTTTATTTTGTTGGGGGGGAAACGTTTTGCGAAGCACAGTGTGCGTGGAAGCGGGGAACCGTGAGGAGACGAGAGAAAAACCCCACCACCCCGAGTTTCCCGCTAGGGACCTCTCCCGACCACCTCAGCCCACGAGGGGGCGGAGAGGGGTGCCTCAAAAGGCGGGGATGGTGGCGTGCTTCGCTCCCGGAAGGCAGCCATGGCTGCCTCCGAGGCGTCGGCCGACACAACTCGAGCGTGTGCGGCGTCTCGCCTCGCGCGAGACGGGCCCGAGTAGCTGGGGTGCAGCCGTCGGCCTTCGTCGCCATTTTTCTGTGCCCACTTCGATCGTCTACGCAACTGGGGTGCAACCGTCGGTCCTCGTCGCCATGCTCTCCGTATGCCCACTTCGGTCGTCTGCATTCTGTCTCCGCGCCCTGGCGGTAAGCGGCGGCGCGCCCAGGTCGGGAGGCAGAGGGGGGCGGGCCGTCGCAGAAGAGACATGCTGAGATAAGAAACGGGTGCTGATATGGGGGCCCAGGGACACACAATGACATAGACGCAACAACCCAGGGTTCCTAATGCTTTTTCCATTGTGCTAGTAGAGTTTCGTCTTCCCCCCCACTTCCCATAGTGCCCCACATTTTAAAGGGAATCGCCGATTCTTTGTGTCTGGGTGTCATTTCCCCCCCCTGAAAAAGGAAAGGGGGCCATGACATCCAGGGAGATATCATGCCCCCAGCCATGATACCCCCACCCCCTTCGACGCCTGCTTGTTTTTAACTCATAGCTCCAACCTCTGGCGGCCAATCGTGAAGATCTGGGCACCCCTGGACCGCTCTGCGGGGGAGCATCCCGAGGCTGGATGGTCGCCGAGGACAGACGACAACACTGTAAACCCTCGAACCTCTCACCTCGGCGATACCCACCCACCTCTTGGACCTCAATGCTTCTTGGAAACGGCAGGGTCGTCTTTCTTTCCACCGTTTCCATAACTCTTGATCATGAGAATGGAAACGGAAACGGTAACACATGACCCTGCGACGTACCCAGTCTACTGGCACTAAGGGATGATACAAGGTGTTCCAACAATAAGGCGACAGCAACACTGCAAGAAACGGTGCACCGCGGATATCTATATAGTGCGCAGTATGCGTGCCCGACTCGCAGAGCAAAGGTACAGAAGGCCAGGAGGCATGCCCGCCCAGGGATGACGAGGTCCTCGAGGTCTGCGTGGGACCCCACTGTGCTGCCCCCCCCCAACAGCCCTCAATAGTGGCAACAATTTCACACTTCGCAGCCCCCCCCCAGGGATGGCCAGGTCCCCTGGCCCCCCCAGCAGCCCTCGAAAGTGGCGACAATTTCGCAATTCGCAGCCCCCCATGGATGGCGAGGTCCCGTTTGTATCTGCTTGGGGCCCCACTGTGCTGGCCCCCACCCCAGCAGCCCTCGAAAGAAGCGACAGTTTCACACTTCGCAGCCCCCCCCCGAGGAATGGCGACGTCTTTGGGGGACCTGCGTGGGGCCCCACTGTGCGGACGGTTTCACACTTCACAGCCCCCCAGGAATGGCGAGGTCCCGTTTGGGTCTGCGCGTGGCCCCACTGTGCTGGCTCCCCCAGCAGCCCTCAAAAGTGACAACAAATTCACACTTCGCGGCCCCCCAAGGATGGCGAGGTCCCGTTCGGGTCTGCGTGTGGCCCCACTGTGCGGGCTCCCCCAGCAGCCTTCGAACTTGGCGAAAGGTTACCACATCGTGGCCCCCAGGGATGGCGACGTCCCGTTCGGGTCTGCGTGTGGCCCCACTGTGCGGGCCCCCCAGCAGGAGACCCCACTGCTCTATTCGAAACGAGCACCCAACCAAAGGAGACTTGGGAAAAACTGCTCGTCGCAACGAACGAAAGAACGTGTCTGGGATTCAAACCGCAGCCGGAGTCGGAGGAAACGACAACGCAGAAACCGGGAACAAAACGGCAAAACGAGCACGGACAAAGCACGGCCTCGTGGCTTCCAAGAACCACTACAGTAGGAGCTCGACCACAAGAAACCTTCCACAAGAAACCCAACCCTGAGACCCCAGGACGTCCAGTGATTGTTGGTGTGGGAGTGTCCTGCTTTCTTAGCCAAACCATGGACGCCCAAGAAACCCAGGGCACCCTGGAGGCAAGCAGGGTGTTTCTTGGCATGGGTTTCCACTGTAAGCCCACCACCCTCGTAGACGCTCCCGACGACTGTGACAGGGAGCCCACAAGGGACGTGCGCGTCCAGCCACGTGCACGAATACGACCCCCCAGACTGCAAGACCAGCCTCGTGATACGGACCTTCGCGCAGCGCGTACACTTCTGAAACCAGCGTGGATTCATGCACGTGTACGTCCTCGTGTTGTTTCTGATGTAAGCACAGGAGGACCTCGACCACGAGAGACCTTCAACAAGAAGAAACCCAACACTGAGACCCCAGGACGCCCATTGCTTTCTGATGTGGGGAGCTCTCCATGGCAAAACCGTCGAAGCCCAAGAAACCTGGGGAACCTTGGAGGCAAACTGGCTGCGGCGAGGACACCCGGAGGCCGAAAATAGCGAAAAAACTCCCGTCGTGATCTTTTTTCACAGAGCGAGGAGGTCTGGAACTGTAGGTAGGGACCACGCCTCGCCCCAGTCGTGTGGCCGTTCTCTCCCCCTGGCGGTGGCGCGCCAGAGCCCGCCCCCTTGGAGAGCGCGCCCCGAGGCGGCGGCCAGCGCCCGGAGCGCCGTGCCGGAGACTTCGGGGCTCAGGGCGCGGAGGCTGCTCTGGACCTGGGCGCGGCGCCCGAAGAGCCTCGGGAAAAAATCGAGACGGAAAAAGCGTCGGAACAAGCGTCGGTGTATGGAGTTCGGCTCCCTACCTTGACACACGCACGCACTTTTCGGTCGTCGCGGGCGGGCGCAGCGCCGCGGGCCCCAGAGAAGCCGCACCACTCGCGCGCGCCCGAAGAGAGAAGAGAGGCCAAGGAGAGGCCAGCCCCTCCCGGGGCACCGCGCGGGCGGGCGGCGGGCCGGGGTGCGGCGGGCCGTGGGGGGGCCAGACATCCAGCGTGTCTCGCAGAAATCGAGGCGTGGGTTCTTCATCGTTTACTCGGCCTCTCGGGGCCCGTGTACTGGGCCTCGCGAGGCCGTCAAAACGCGGCTCGTGAGGAAGAGCCGGCCCCAGAGAAGTGGTCTCAAGAGGTCGGGGGCTCGTGCCTCGAACACACCGCGACGCCGGCTGTCTGGAGAGGGCGGTGGGCAGCTTCTGTGCGATCTGTGCGTTCGGCGGCCCTGGGGACGCGCTATGCCGTGCGAGCGGATTGCGCGCTTCGCTCCGCTCCGCGGAGCGGGCGGCAGGGAAAAGCTCGGAACGTTTACAGTGGGGGCTTGACCTCAAGAAACCTTCCACAAGAAACCCACGCCTCAGACCCCAGGACGTCCACTGATTTTTGGTGTGGGAACGTCACGCCTTCCCCAGCAAACCCATCGAAACCGAAGAATCCCAGGGCACCCTGGAGGCAAGCAGGGTACCTCTTGGCATGGGCCTCCACTGTACGCTGGGGGGACGGGACATGGATAGCGCGTCGCGCCGAAGAGCGGTGGGCCAGAGCAGGCAGAGCGACACGCGGAGCCAGAACTCCTGACCGTGTGCTCGTTTGGCCTGTGCGTCGTGGTCGGGTGTGCTGTGCCTGCTCTCGTGTGGCCTTACCGTTGCGCGCCTCTGTGATGTTTGCTGTCTCCTGGTCCCTGTCCCCGCCGCTCCGCTCCTTCTTCCCCCCTCTTCGCCTCCCCCTCTGCCTCTCCCTCGCCTACTCTCCCCTCTCCCCCCCTCCCGCCTCCCACTGCCCCTCTCCCCACCCTCCCATAGGGAGGCCCTCCTTCCCCTTCATCTAATTCTCCGTTCCCCCTACCATTTCCCCTTCCCTCCCCCCCTCCCTCTCGGCCAACTCGAACCCGTCGGAGGCGAGAATATCCCGTCGAGACGGCCGGGCGTAGCTCTGCCGCGCAACGGCACCGCGTCGCGCCAGGTCTTGACCGACGACGCTCGGACGGAAATAGCGGCTGGGCAGAGTGGAAAGAGGCACCACGACTCCAGGCCTCGCTCCTCCACATCACTTCCGCGAAACACAGCCCCAAGCAGGCGTGATCACTTCTCAGTCTGCGCAGTGAAAAGAATCGTACTGCCATTACAAGTTGCTCCCCACGCGACACAGCGAAACAAGCCTGATGCCGTCAGGTTGCCTCACGAAGCGTGCCGCCAAGGCCGCCAAGGTCTTTCGTGAGGCAGGAGGGAGGCAACGAAACCAAAGCGTTCTGGGCGGGAACCCCATCGCCCAATCGGCCATGTATGCCTAAACTCCCACAAGAGATGCTCTCCATGCTCCATGCGGCCCTCCCTGCTCCCCGCCCCCTGCCACTAGAACGCTACCACCTCCTACGCTTCTGCAGATCGGATCAGAGGAAGGGTTCAGGGAAAAACAGACATATGTATACAAGACATACATACATGCAGACATATACATACATGGGCAGAGAGAGAGAGAAAGAGAGAGAGAGAGAGAGGGAGAGACACAGAAAGAGAGAGAGAGAGAAATAAAGAAAGGAAGAGAGAGAGAGAGAGAGAGAGATAATGAGAGGCGAGCACGCCTGCCCCTCCTACACTCCTCCTACTACTCCGCGAGACCTACGGTCGGGAACTTTTGGATAGCGTGTCGCCACGGCGGCCCTGGCGACACGCTATCCCCTACAAGCTGCTAGCGTCTCGCTCCGCTCAGCGGGGCGGGAGGCTAGGGAAGGAAAGGTTCAGGACGTTGACGACTGAGGACCGCGACAAAAGGATAGCGTGTCGCGCCCAAGCGCCGTGGGCCAGAACGGGCGGCGCGACACGGTACCTAAAAGTTCCCGACCGTATCCCTATTCATATAGCGCCGCGCAAATGCCCCAAAAACATATTTCGGCCTCCCTGAGCCTCCTGGACGCCCACGCATAGCGTTAAGTCGGGCCTGTCCCTCTACAGGAGGAGTACACAAAAATAGTAAAAAACGTCAGAGGACGATTTTTCGATTATGTTTTGCTTATTTGGGGGTATGTTTTGACTATTTTCACTTTTCGTCCAGAATCCCCCTGAAGGAGGACATGCCCGAACTAAGCACAACGTTCCCTCGCTTTTTCGAGCCTCCCGGACGCCCCCTGTGCCGAAAGCGAGCAGAAGGACGGCCAGGCGGCCGCGAGAGCCCCGAACAGCCCAAGACACTCCCCCAAGCCGCCCGAAGACGAGCCGAGGAAGACCCCCAAGAAGCTATCCCAACGCAAAAGTGAACGTTTTTTTGTTCGGCGTTTCGACATTGGGCGGGAAGGGGGGGAGGGGGGGGGGCCTGGCTCCAGACCTCTGCTTAGTGCGACTGTTTGCAAGAGCGCTGCGTCCGTGGGGAACTCCACCCGCTCGAAACAGGCGCCAAAAAACAGCCAAGATCCACTCCATGGGGGGGGAGGGGGGGGTGCGAGGGCCCGCGCCGATCGGCAAAACAACGAATAAAACAAACGATCACGAAGACATGGAATCCCTAAAATGTTCGTGTGATTTTAGGGTGCTCGGTTGTTCGGTATTCCGGGCTGCCGAGATCGCTCAAGAGGACCCGAACATCGGATAAGAAATTGACCAAAGGGGTATCCAGAAATCGAAGACACTCCCAAGACGGCCCAATAGGCTTCCAAGACGGCCCGAGAGCACTATGACAGCCCAAGATGCCCAAGAGACGTCACACAAAACACTCCAAATCGCAGCCCGTTCGTTGAGGGAGATTGTGGTTGGCGGGAATGTGTCCCCGAAAAGGTCCTGGGGGGGGGCCCTAGAACGCACCCAAGTAAAGGAGGACGACGACGATGACAGAAACGTGAACACTGAGATCATGTTCTTCACTCCTTTCTCTTCCTCTTTCTCTCTCTACCTTACTATTTGCATATGTGTGCATTTACAAACAAACATACATACATACATACATACATACATATATACACATATATATATATATAATATGAGGGCGCGCCGCTGGATGACCCAAAGGGGGGGGGGGGAACCCCCCTTCTTTTCTTCGATCCGTCGTCGGGGACCCCCCCCCTCCCCCCCTTTCCCGATCCGTCGTCGGGGACCCCCCCTCCTTTCCCGGTCCGTCGCCGGGGACCCCCCCCCCCTCCCTCCTTTCGGCCCCCCCCTCCCCGTTTGGCCGCCAAATTCGAGGCCCCCCCCTTCCCCCCTTTCGCCACGGCGCCCCCGGTCTCTGGAACCCGACCCCTACCACACCTTACACTAATCTTCACCCTTACCCTAACCCCGAACCCTAACCCCAAACCCGAACCCTAGCCCCAAACAGCACTCACTACTCATTACGCACTACCCACTACCCACAATTGACTACTCGCTACTCACTACTCACTACTCACTACTCACGACTCAGTGCTCACTACCCACGGTTCACCACCCACGACGCACTACTCACTACTCCCTACTCGCGCTCACTACTCCCTACTCAATACTCACTATTCGCTAAACAAACGCAACTCACTACCCACTACTCACTTATCACAAACCACTACCAACTGCCAACTAACCACTATCCACTACTTACTACTCACACTTCACGACTCACTACTCACTGCCCACAACCCACTACTCACTATCCACTACTAGCTACTCGCTACTCCCTACTCACTATTCGCTACTCCCTACGCCCTACTTGTTGCCCAACACGCACTCTTCATTACCCACGACTCACTACGCGCTACGCCCCCACTGCTCACTACTTGCTACTACCTACACCTACTCACTACTCCCAACTCACGCACTACTCACTACTCACAAGTCCCTCCTAACTACTCACTACTCACTACTCCCTACTCGCTACGCACCAACCCCTACTCATTACTCACTTGTGACTCCTGCCTACTCCCCCCTCGCTACCCACTACTCACAAAGCCCTACCCGCTACTCGCTACTCACTACCCGCTACTCCCTACCCGCCACTCTGTACTCGCTACCCGCTACCCGCTACTCACCACTCACTACCCACTACTCTCTACTCACTGCGCCTTACTCACTACTCACTACTCACCCCTCGCTAATCGCTACTCCCTATTCCCTGCTTACTACTGACTGTGCACTACTCACGACACACTACTCACCCCTACGACCCACTACTCACAAATCTCTACGCGCGACTCACTACTACCACTACCCATTACCCACGACTCACTACTCACCACTCACAACTCACTGCGCACTACTCCCTACCAAATACCCACTACTCACCAGTCGCTACTCAAAACACTCTACTCCCTACTCACTACCCGAGAGGCCCCCTCCCCAGCCCCATGTTCGGCGCAAAGGGGGGGTCGACCCCCCCCCCTTGCCATCGCCAAAAGGGGGAGGGGGGGAGGGGGGGGGGGGGTCGAAAATCTCCCCCCCCCCCCCCCCCTTTTGTGTATCCAGGGCCATCCACTGGCGCGCTTTCATAGAAGTAAGTCCCTTTGTTGTTGTTTCTCTCTCTCTCTCTGTCTCTTTCTCTCTCTCTCTCTCTCTTTCTCCCTATCCGTCTCTCTCTCTCTCTCTCCCCGCCCGCATACGAAACTTGAAGGGCCAAGGTGCATGGCGTGAAACGACATGAGACAAGGGAGAGGAAACGAGAGAGAGAGAGAGGGAGAGAGAGAGAGATGAGAAAGAAAAGGAGAGAATGATTGAGAGAGAGAGGGACAAAGCATCAACACACTAGAGCGAGAGATAAGCGACCAGACCT